GATCTACAGTGTTTTTTGACTACACAAGGACAAAGCCTATTAATTTCTAGTTGGTGATCATGACTGACTTCAACAGTTAATTCCTCTTTTTGCCACCATTAAAAAGGTTCGTTTGAGAGCACTGACTGGATTGACCAATACTCAGTAAAGATCCAAGAAGGAGGAATGTATATTTAGACAAACTGGGAAGATCTCTTGGAACTATTTCTAAACAACTGCAGATTCCAAGATCATCAGTTCAAATAACTGTATGTAAGTAAAAGTTATTTGGATGTGTCAGCACTTAGTAGCATCATGGTCTGGGGCTGTTTTGCTGTGGTACTGTACATCGCACAAAGTGGATCGAATAATGAAGACGAATGACTACATCCAAATATTTCAGCTTCACCCCAAATCAACAGCTTGACAGTTTAAACTTAAGTTAAACTGGGGTGAAGCTTCAGGACCGTGATCCCCAACACAATTCAAAACAAGTTTTGGAAAAAAGCAAGCTAACATTACGCTTCTCAAATGACCCTGACCTCAATCCTACCAAATATTAGTGAGGTTATTGTGTACATATATTATAGCCTGCAGTCTGTCTCAAATGACACATGTATGGTCCCGTGTCAGACTTTTTCAGTTGTGCGATCCTCACATACAGAATATCAGATGACAGAATACAGTTTTTTTTACATATTGAATGCTGTATCTGCCATTTTTAGCTGTGTTCTCTGTTGTTGCAATTAGGATATTTAGTTTTTCACATTTTCCCTCCCTATGGTCACGGCTGGGCAGCAGTCGTGTGGTGGAATGAAAGAGGACCCAAGATGCAGATGGCAGTGGAGATGCAGGTGGAGATTTATTTAAGGTGAAAAAACCCAAGATGAGGGCAGAACTAAACATAAACCTAAACTGGTGAAACTAACAAACAGAGGACGCAAAGCAAGGAACAGAGGACGCAAAGCAAGGAACAGAGGACGCAAAGCAAGGAACAGAGGACGCAAAGCAAGGAACAGCGAGCCACAGAGACATACCAAAATAATGCAGAGACACAGCTGGAACTAATGGGCATGACGAGACACAAACCTACAAAGTAAAACAGGAAACTCACAAACTGTTTCACAATACCAACTCGGGGACACGAACAGAACACAGAGGAAGGACACAGGTAGGGATGATAGAAACACTAAACACACAACTCAAACCATAAGAACAAATGCAAAACAGCAGAAACTGGAAAATAATAACAATAAACTCAAAACACTGGGTCAACGACCCAGGACCATGACACTGAGCCTGATGAACGACTCTCTGTCATGGTTGAGTCACGGAAGTTCAAATTCTGTTGTTGTTG